TGATTGACCAAATATTTGGTCACATACAAACCCTCGAGTTTGCTCCACACACTCGCTGCAATTTTCTCCATTGAAACATGCCTCAAAACCTTATCACCAAGACTTAAGATGATTGCACTGTGGGATTTCTCGATCATCATTGTGTTTTCCTTCTCCGTTAGGAAAATACACATCTTCTCTAATCCTTTCAATGCTTATAACAAATCCTGTTGAACTAGCACCATAGACCGAAATTGTAACACCCCGTTCCCCAAAATAAAATAAAATGATTAAAACAAACACGTATCAGAGTATCTCCCACAACGGGATGTCACAATTTCCACCAAGTTCTCATTAAATGATTCACAGTCAAAATATGCAGCGGAGAAAATATACTCTTTTCATTCATATAAACATATCACATGCATATCATGTCATATACAACGTTTAAGGCCATCTGCCCAAAATATATATAACTGTCATACATCAACACATAACCCACAGAACTAGATACGCTGCAGGGGCACACATAATCAACAATAAACAATAACTCCCCAAAAAGCCCCGGTGTTACGTATCAGAACAATCCTACAACGACGCCACAATCCAAGCTAGCCAAACACCTGGCTTGTCTGTACTTCTGAAGAAGCACAGACCAAAACAACAACAGAGGGGTGAGAATCACGATCAAATAATAATGGTATAAACATACATGAAATAAAAGACAGAAAACAATAAATCATTTATTTCATATTTCTCACACCCGGACCTACTGTCCCATCATCAACAACCACAACACATAATAACAATGCAACACATGCACTAAACTCAACAAAATGTGGTACCGACTCAACTCAGGATAGATCGCATACACTCCCTCTGAGCAACGATCTATCCCTACCACGCTCCCCCTGAGCCCATATAATCAAATATCAACGTCCCCCACTTGGGACACGGGTGGTCGCATACACTTCATCCGAGCAACGATCCAAATTCCCGTCCACGCTCCCCCACTGGAGCACATGAGTGTACCACACACCACGTCCACGCTCCCCACTGGAGCACGCGAGTAAATCATACACCGCGTCCACGCTCCCCACTTGGAGCACGTGTGTGAATCACATACACTCCACCGAGCCGTGATTCACCATGTCCACATGCTATGCATATACACACAAGCACACAAAGTGCATCGATCCTACTGATCCAATCACCACACAACAACACGTCAATACAATGCTCACAAGGCATATTCGATCCTACTGATCACAATCTCCTCACAACAGCGTACAAACGCAACGCATATAAAGCGTATCGATCCTACGGATCCACTCACCACAACACATCACTACAACATATCACACACTATGCATATAAGGCATATCGATCCCAGTGATCCACTCATCATACAACAACATATAATCACAACGCATATAAAGCGTATCGATCCTACTGATCACAATTTATCATATATCAAAGATATCTCACTCATCAACACAGCACTCACGGTGCACACGATCCTACTGATCCATCAACGTACAACACACAGTCACAATGCACACAAAGCATACCCGATCCTACTGATCTACGGTCACTCAACATATGAGCACTACGCACACAAGGCGTATTGATCCTACTGATCTACGGTCACACAACTTATAGCACACACATATAATTATACCACATAATCCACCGATCACGTCGAATGCGTTAAACTCCGGCCACATAGCCCTCTAACACCCAACATACACCCAACACCCATAAATCATCACGGTACTTCAGACTGGCCACACTCAGCAATCACAGCTGCACACGGTTCCAGGGAAAATAAAGTTCTGCTATGCTCGCCACCTATCACCTGAATCTCATACAACCACATCTCAAGAGTTTCTTACAATATCACATACACTCATAACGTATATCAGGTCACTTATTCGGTTATACAATTACCACGAGAATCACACTCCCGTATCACACATATTCATTCCTAATCGAAGGATACATAGCCACTTTAGGCATCACACGTACTTCGGTTCAATCGTTCATATCAACGAATATTCAAGCACACGCTCCCTACATCACCTTCATGCTCTCAACCGATCCACGATAACCACGTACTCGCTCACGACCAACAAGGGTCTAACCACGCGAGAAACGAAACAATACAACATAAAAACCATAAAATGTTGTCATGCTCGCTGCCATTCGCCTGGCGAAGCCCCGTAGCGAACACTCGTTGGGACTCGCCCGGCGAAACCCCTAGCGAAGCCAAACAGAAGCAACAGGCAGCATTCGCTGCCCAGTTCGCCTGGCGAAGTCTCGCCCCATTCGCCCAGCGAATGCACGCGAATTCTGTAGAAAAACTGTTGTTCAGAAACAACCCCACCCTCCGATTTCGTCCGATTAAATCCCACGAAATCCTACACTATACCAGTACAGTACTATCCCACAAGACCACACCGATTATCCTAGTTCATACTCGATAAATCCTCAGTTCTACTCAATTCTCCAACTTTCGGCATTAACTCCGAATTTACCGGAAACCCAAAATCATCAAACAACCATTCCATAGCACATGCAATGAACTCAAACACAATAATCACAATTACAACAGAAATCAACAACATGCAACAACATAATTTTATCATTCATCTATGGGATTTAGGGAATTCCCCGTTCTACCAATTTTTCATGCAATACCGAATTTAACCGATCAATCCCCCCCCCTACCTCGATGTAATTCTGATGATGATGAACCTTTACAAATCCACACGAATTGATAGTCTTGATGATCCCCTTGCTCAAGTTTCAACTCCTGATCTCCCTCTTCCTGGCTGAACCGTGTTCCTCCTCTTCACTTGTTCTTTCCTTCTCTATTTTCTTTCAATTGTCAACTATGCCCTCAATACCCCCAAATTCTCTTTTATTTCTCATCCAAATAAACAACTCTCATTTCTTTTAATTCCAAATAATAATATTGCTCCTCATTTCTTAATTCCAAAATTAACCCCAATAATATTTTTAAATATAATAATAACAACAATAATATTAATAATAGTAGTATCAACACTATTAATCATCATATTATTATTATTAATCATATTTTTCTAATATTATGGGATTTAATTCCTCAAACAATTTCCCCACATAATGCACCGAAAATCAAATAACACGAGAAAACCAAATAATTAAAAATGAGCGTTACAGAAATCATTCACACTGGTGAATTTTTCAATCTCATACTTTGTTGACGACATCTTCTCCTCCACGCTCACCACATCAATTTGTTTGAAAGCGATACCCAGAAAACAAAGTGTGATCAATTTCTTGATTAACAAGAAAACCACAAAGTAAAAGAAAAAGAGATAATATAAGAGAAAGGAAATTCAAAGTGGTTTAAAACTTTGGATTCTTGATTCAAGTGCACATTAAGAAACAATGTTTACAATTGAATCTCTACCATACCACTTTTTTCCTCTGATTAAGATTATCAAGAATTGATGGAGAAGTGAGAATTAGTATGTTATTTGTAAGAAAATTAAACTATAGCTTTTAATTAACATATTAAACAATTAGTCCACTAGACTGACTCAATTCAATATGTTAACTTAAACAACAAGCTAACATACTTACGTGCGTGCAAGAATAGACTTCGACTACGACATGCACATCTTAACTACTATTAAACCATAAAATTAACTTTATTAAGACTAGAGTTCGATCCAAATAATACAATATTATTCTCAAATTTAAATTTCACACTCAGAATCTCTATTAACTTAATTGTCACATTATTAAGAGGTGTCGAATTCAATCAATCAAATTTGATGTCAAAAAATTCATCATCATCATATCCACTTGAAAATTAAAATGGTTTCACAATCACATTTTATTACCATCTAGATTTTTATTGAATTTTGATATAAAAATTAGATGTCAAAATACCATTTATCGCCATTAATACTTGAGTACATATACAAAATTCAAACCAAAATAATACTAGTCGTCTAGTACAACAAGAATATCCATTAAATAAACAAAAATTGCAGAGAAAACGTACAATTGAACACAATGTGCCATAAGGTACACCAACCCTACTTGGCTTGTCAATTGCCCAACAAATTAGCTATCTATCACATGCTATAGCCGTTAATTATTTTGGACGGACCTTTTGTCTGAGGTCGACCCTTCATGCTATGTCCTGATTCTCCACGTTCATGGGATTATTGTGCAGAAACAAATGTGGGTTTAAAATTACTCAATTTAGTTTCGATTATTTAAAATAATTTATTGAATTAAAAATTATAATTAATATTTTAACTTTTTAGTTAGATCTATAAACTAAAAATTTCTTCATAGAAACCATAAACTTATTAACAATGTTCATACTTCTCGGTTGATTAGCTTGCATCTTTGAAACGTTGTGTTCTCTATGACCCACACCAACTCTTAAAGCAAATTGCTTAGCTCACTAAACTAGTGTTTGTGGCAGTAGCAAAGTCCCTCTCCAACGAGCGTATATCTATCTTACCCTTAAGGTGGGTCCTAACCAACGGACAAAAATCTTGACGTTATGTGTTTAACGTGTATGTTGCAACTAACAATTGTATTAGACTACATTACTATAAGCATCATCCACACTTTCTGTTCCATGATCCCAAGAAATAATCCATAAATAAAATTATTCATAATGATTTCGACAATTTATTAAATACTTAATATATCTGATTTAATAAATAATTTTGATTCCGAAAAAGAATGTGAGTTTTTCCCTAAAATGAAAAATAAGACATTGGTCAAAAGAAGTGATTGCATATTTTTTTGATAAAAAGTGAACAACTGAGACCAAAAGGAGAATCCACACTTTCCTCCGATAGATCAAATCAAATCATATATCAAAACAAACACTTTTAGTTAGGTTAAAAATATAATACTCCACCCAATAAAAACCAAACCAAAATTAAAAAACAAAACCCATTTCACATTTAACTTTTTTTGATACGTGAATTTAAACATTCAATTCAAGTAACCAAATATATAGGCATAGCGGAGGTAGACATCCTCTGCTGCTGCAGGTGTTGCTGCTCCATCGTAAGCTCTCTTAAACTCAAGTAAGGTATATCCACCGCACCAATCGCCGCCGGCATCAAACTTCCGGCGAGTGGACCGGAAGAAGGCCTACTACAACTCCTATATGGCGTAGCCGACCCACTTCTACTCTCTGTTAAGTAAACAGGTCCGGAAATCGTGGCCCGGAAGGCCTTAGCCCGGGCTTGATGAATGTCACTGTTTTCGCCGTCGTCGTAACGATCATCACGGTGGTGGTGGTGGGTCCATTTCCATTTGAAGAAGAAAAGAGCGTTTTTCCACCAGCGTTTCTTCTTTGTTTTCTGATTCTTGTTCCTTGATTCTTCTTTTGAAATTGGTTTTTGTAGCTTGAAGTGTATTGAGTCTATGGATCTTGAAGATTCTCGTTTGTGTTTCATGGCTTCTTCTAGTACCTGTTATAGAAAGAAGAAAAAAAATGAAGTTTTTTTTTTTTTGCTTAATACTGAAATAAGAGATAGAGAGAAAAAGGTACCTGAAAATAGTTGATTTGAGGGTCGAAACCATAGTCACTGAAGTGTTGAGGGTCTGAAATGGGAAAAACTGGGGACTTGTTGGACATTTTGGTGAGTTTATTTTCTGGTTATGGTAGTTGGTAGTTGCTAAGGAGAAAGAATGAAATTGAGTAAATGGTTGAATGGAGAGAGTGAGGGGGCTCGAAGAGAGTTGGTAAAATGGGAGAGAGGTAAATGCGATTCACATTTGTTGGTGTGTTGCATTTATTAAGCTTAGTTCCACGAAAATGTAGGCAAGTAGTGATAGATCCGGTTCATGGAAAGAAAAATTTGGGTCAATTTCCAAGGGTAAACTCACATGGATATCATAATTATAAACTTCTTTGTAAAAGTAGTACTTTCTCAAGTAATAACTTAGCCTGTCTTTTATGTGTGAGAGAGTTAATATTTTATTAACGTATCTATTGTAAAAAAAATTTATCAACATGTGTATATTATGAGTCTCTTTTTTAAAAAAAAAAAAACTTTTAACTTTGCAGTTTATTTTAATTAAAAAAAAATTTGTTTGATAATTGTCTTTTAAATTTTAATTTATAATTTTTTAATTAGTTTTTAGTTTTTTTTTTCAAAAATTATTTGAAGGAACTTCTGAACTTGTAGCTTTTAGCTTATGATTTTTTATTTCAACTATATTCTTATTATTTTAATTATATATATATATATATATATATATATATATATATATATATATATATATATATATATATATATATATATATATATATATATATATATATATATATATATATTTACTATTAAAAAATTCATTTTAAAAGATTGAATTTAAGAAAATTTTAAAGAATGTTATAAAAGATTTTTACTATTTTTCTCTACTTTATTAGATAGTATTTTTATTTATTAAAAATAAATTATATAATTAATTTAGAAATAGTGTATATAATTCTCAGGTTATGAGAATTAATGGAATCAATAAAGTTGAAGAAAATTCAAAATATTATTACAGTTTTATTATAAAATATTAGACAATAAACTTATTTTTGTTATTATTTTAGATTAATATAACTAAATTTAAAATTACAATGTTATTATCTCACGTATTTTATTAAATTTCATTATAAAATTAGGAAGAAAAAAATATATTTTACGAAATAATGAGTTATCCAGATCAAAAATTATAGTTTTTAGGATTACTTTTACTTTTATGTCCTTATAAATGACTTTATAAAATACTCTTAATTCATGTATGGTTTACTGATTCTTTTATTCATTGAATTTTGTTATCAATATATTCATATTAAATAGCAAAACTCATAAAATTTATATACAAATTTATATATTTTGATGATATCTTCAATTTTTCATATATATTAAAATTGTTTTGTTATTAATGCATTTACTTTTATCAAATAAAACTTAATTTAATAATATAATATGATAAGATAATGAGATCACAAATTTTTTAATTTAAAATGTCTTTTTAGGTCATTTTGTAATTATCAACTAGTGTAACAACTAATTTATCAAACACTCAAACTAACTTATCAGTTATCAGCTATAAACTATAAATTATCAGCTACTAACTATCAACTAACAACTATCAGATATAAGTTAGTTTTACCAAACAGAGCCTATATTTCTGATTTAATTCAACAATATTTAATATTTAATATTGATAATTATTCATCAAATATAATTAATTAATATAAAAACAATTATTTTTATTTATAATTATAACTGAAGTGAATATAAAATAATGGCTAATTTCACGTTTTTTACTGTTTTATTCCAATTGATATTGCTATAGTAAATTATGTAGTGTCCTAACCTATATTATTTTATTTATTTTGTTTACTATAGTATACAATTCACGTATTCAACTGATTCAGTTCTTTAATATGTAATAATGTAAGTAAATAGGTGGGTGAGTAAAAATCACTTTTGCCCTTGCTTCTTCTTTTGCTACGTCTAAAAATAATTGATAATTAACGTCTTTCGTAGTTTTATTCTAATGAAATAATTCTTATTTCCATTTTAAACATTGCTATAATAAACTCCACACTGCCCCAACCTATATTTTTTAATTGAGTTTGTCTATTATTGCATACGATTCAACTGATTTAGTTTGTTAATCTATAATATGAAAAAAAAAATAAGTGGTTAAGTAAAAACCATTTATGCTCCTAATTCTTCTTTTGTCATGTCTAAATATTATGGCTAATTCATGTCTTTAACAATTTTATTTCAACAAAACGATCCTTAATTCCATTTCAAACATTTCTATAAAAAAAATTGCATCGTCTTAACTTTTACTTTTCATTGATTTCCTCTACTATACAACTCAATTGATTCAGTTTTTCTTAAATCAGAAAATTTATCTTCTAATTAGATCTTCTATCCCTTTCAAATCAAACAAGTACAACATCTAATCAAGTCTATTGTTCAATGCCCATTTCAATTTTCATATACCAATGGCAGAGCAATCGTTCACAACTTCTCAAATTCTCCCACGGTCGAAATCCACAATCTTTTCTTCAATAGGTAATTAACACATTGGTCATTATTTATTTCACTTCATTAATTTCATTCTCAAACACAAAATTTGTAAAGCTTTCATATTCCTCCATTTGAACATGAAATCATTTGGTTCCCTTCACTTCAAACGATTGTCATGGAAGTCGTTCATACTACGTTGATTCTTGTCCTATAGATGTTCATATCCTTTCAATTATGTTAATCCTTCTATAAGAGTAATGAAGTTTTAAATTCAATTTTATTTCACTCTTCTTCTTCACATACTGATTTAAACATTGAAGTGCTCATTTTGGTTCAGCAAAGCAAGGAAGAAAGTTTCAGTAACCTAGCTTAGTGAGCTCAGAGCGAGGGCAAAGTGATCCTCAGAGCAAGGGCAAAGCGAGCTTAGAGCGAGTGAAATCAGCATGTCCAAACTTTCAAATATCAACTCCCTCACTTAGCTAGCTCAAAGCGAGATCAAAGTAAGGCAAGTCAAAATGTCTAAGCTTTCAAACATCAACATTCTCGCTTAGTACAGCCTAGCGAGATCAAAGCGAGAAAGCTGACTAAGAATGATATCTATGGCTAAGTGAGGCAAGGCAGTTTAAATCTGACGTGTCAGAAAACTTCATGATGAAGAAAGGCTAAGCTGGCTAAGCAGGCCTTTTGTGGCTAAGCGAGGTTATGATTTCAGGACAGGTATATATACCAATCAGAAACAGAAAAAGAGAACCATTACCATTTTCCAAAGGCAAAAATACATAGAGAAACAGGGGAGAGTTATAAATCAAAGAATTCAAAGTGGATACGCAACATTCATCGAGAAATCAATATTGATGCTCATTCATCTCTATTCTTCTCATTTGTACAAGGCTACCATGACAATGAGTAACTAAATCTCTCTCTTGTTGAGATTAGATGTAATTAACCATACTCATATGTATCTCTTTTGATCATTGTTATATATGAATTAGTTACTCATCAATATTGATGTTATCCTTGTTTGAATGTTTAAATTTATGGATTTGAATTGTTATTGAGAAATACCCTTTGAATCTTGATTTAGGATAATCATTTTATAAAAGTTAAACTCTAGAAATAGATTTGGATTTAACATACATTACAAGTATCGATTCTTAATGTTATTGTATTGATTAATAGGCTAAGAGATTGTCGATTAAATAATACGGTTGAAACCCCATCATTATTTAGAGATAAATAATGTTTGTGAGTGATATATGATAATATTGATTAATAGGTAGGATTTATATATATGACCAAAAAGATACGTGTGAAATAGTTTAATGAAATCTAATTGTAACCTGCTCTAAGAAGATTGTGGGCGAGAGCCCTTCCACCAATATGGTTGTCGTGTGCCCTTTGGTGAATTTCTGTGAGTACCAGAGCGATTTCATGCTCCCCTAAACACCGTAATATTTGGGAGGCTTTTCCCTACTCATTGAGTTTTCCTGCCAAGAGAGTATACTTAGAGGCTTTCTTCCAGACTATTTTTTGTCTCTCCTTTATCTTTAGGGAGTTTGTCCTCTTGCTTATACTAAGGTATAGGAGACATGTAGCTTGGGGCGACAAGAGTCTCTTATATGATTGTCTAATTGTAACATGTTATATTTCTAGTGGCAAGTTTGGACAGAAGATCTGCTTTGAATTTATGTTCTCGGGGCATGTATTTTACTTTAAAAGATTTAAGGTGTGTTGATAAACTTTGTATCTTATGGAGATATTTAATGAGTTGTGCTTCTTTTTCCTAGTATTTTCTGACAAGTTGATTGATGACTAGCTGGGAATCACATTTTCCCTTCAACCTGGAGGAACCCATTTCCAAGCAGGGACGATTCTAGAAATTTTTACAAGTGGAGTCAAGATTAATTATTATAAATATTTATAATAATATATATAAATAATAAGTGATAAATATGGTATTTTTTCACTGTATAAAGATTGCAAAATTAAACATATTATTTTATATTAAAAAATAGATTAAATTACATTTTTAGTCCTCTTATTTTATCTTATTTATAAAATTAATCCACCTATTTTAAATTGAAATAGTTTTGGCCTCCTTCTCACTTTTTCACTACAAATCGATGAAATGTTAATTTTTCAAATTATATTTTTTATTTATAAAATTTTATAAAAAAATTCATATATGATGATTTGTCAAATTTCACAGGTTATACATCATTTAAAAATGGATAAATCGTTAATTTTTAGGGCGAAAATGTGAAGAATAATAAAACTGTTTAATTTTAAAATAAGAGAATTGGTTCATTGAATATAAAAGGTAAGAGAACCAAAACTATAATCAAACCTAAAAATATGAAGACATTTTTATATAATCAAGCCACGACTATTATTATTTTTGAAGTTTTTTTTATATCTTTAACGTGTTGTAAAATATTTTTTTAACACTATCAAATATATCAAATGTTTTATTTAGAATTTATTTGGATCGACTTTTATAAACTTGTCTTATAATATAATTAATTTTGTGAGATTATTTCAAATATGAAAACCATTGAAAACAACTTATAATATTTCTATAATCTTTTTTTTA